TGCTTGATAGTCATATAGGGCCACAGCCGTCACCCCGAGGTCCTCCCCGTAGTCGTACTGCTGCGTGTCTGCAATTGAACAGTAGTTTAAATAAAAGCTTACAGAGCAATCAGGTTTGTTCTACACTACAAGGAACTCTAACCTACAGATTATAGCACCGTCATGTCTTTGTTAAATGTTGTTTTTTCAGCTAATTCCTTATTCACACAAATGTTTCTGTTTAATACTGTTTTAAAACAAAGTGTCATTTCTACCTTTAGACAATAAAACAGAACAAAAACAATTATATAGCAAACAGCAGTTTGTCAGATGAAAAGTAAAAGAATCATGAGTGTAACAGGTTTAGTCCCTTCTTGGCTCCTGTGTCCAAAGTAGAAAGCTACACGGCATTAATGCTGTCCTGTAACGCAGTGTAAACATTCCTGTGTGAACGCCAGAGGGGAAAAGCCGCCAATAATAATAATAATAATTAAAATAAAAAAATAAAGCGCTTCACCTTCTGCTGCAGACTCCTTGGGGGTCTGGTACAGATCATCGTGCGGTGTGTAGTGGCTCTGTGGCTCTGCCTCATACAGCTGCCCTCCATTCTCAGCGGTGTCGTAGGCCTCCTCCTCCTCCGTGTTCTAACAGTAAACAGCATGTTAAAGACTGCAGCACTCATGTTAGAGAGAGCGCTGATTTGGAGAGCTAGGGAACTTCTTATACTATCGCCAAACTATCCTGTAATAGTATTAGTAAGGTTTACCAGACACAGCAGCGTCTGAAACGACTCCAGTCCCAACAAGTTAGTTTCTCCTGATCAAATTAGGTTTTTATACGTTAAAAAACAAGACCTGAAGACAACAATGTTTTAAAGTTTGGTGTCATGTATACTACATGCATGCATCCAAGCTTTTCCTGGATAATAACAATAATAATCCACTGTTGGTCTAAAACACAGCGGTGCCACAAAGAGTGATGCAAAAGTGTTTGTGTGTTGATGGGTGATCGTGGCTCAAGAGTTGGGAGTTCGCCTTGTAATCAGAAGGTTGCCGGTTCAAGCCCCGGCTTGGACAGTCTCAGTCGTTGTGTCCTGGGTGGCTGTGGCTACAATGTAGCTGCCATCACCAGTCTGTGTGTGTGAATGGGTGGATGACTGGATGCTTTGGGGTCCTTAGGGACGAGTAAAGCGCTATTCAAATACAGGCCATTTATGTGCCGAGTTCTCTTCCTGGGAAACAGTGTTTGTATAAAAACTTTGCAATCAAAATCAAGTCCTGTAAAAAACATTCTTTGCGTGTCTACATGGGCAGTGTCACAGTGAGGCCTTTAGGCCTAAAGCTAAGCATTCAAAAATCACTAATACTCACCCCGTGGCTTCTAACTGGTTGAACCGCTGGAGTCGGGCTTGGGGTCGGACTGGGACTTGCAGCAGGGACAGGAGACGGGGCTTTGGGAGTCTCTTCAATTTGGCGGCGTGCTGCCTCCTGCTCTTGCTGCTCCTTGGCCTGACGACGCAGCCGCTCCTCCTCAGCCCTCTTTCTGTCCTCCTCCTCATTCTGCTTGGCGATGTTCTCAAAGCGGGCCTTGATGCTTCCTGTGCTGCTGGCACCTGATGAGAACGATTGGGAACAGGGAGGAAACAAAGTGACGTCGACTACCTAGTTTCCTCAAGTTGTGACTAACAGACGGCTGATGATGAACGATGCTCACCGGCCTCCACAGGTTTGGTTTTCTGGTAAGCTGGAGTCAGCTTCTCCACATCCTCGAATGTGCTCGCGCTCTGTTCAATGCCAGACGTAGCATGTAAGACGAGGCCCTCTACAGAAAGGTTCACACAAACACCGAGTCCTTACCTTATCCATGCGATCATTCTGGACACCAAACTTCCCTCCAAAGCCTTTAGAATAATCTGACAACAAAGAGGAGAAAAAGTGGATGTTACTTTGTGTCTAAGGCTCAACCACAATGTGCATCACCAGAGCCTGTGCTCCAGAGGAGCTGAAACGCACTCTCTGGTCCCAGTTCAGCTGAAGCACACTGTAGGTTGACAGGGCCGACTGAAGATGTGCAAGAATGAAAGAAGCAGGAGGAAAACGAAACGGGCTGACAGGAGAATGCTGACAAGGAAACATTTGTTCATGCGGCCAACTCAGCTTAATCTCTGCAATGAAGAAGAGCTGTGTCCGTGCAACAATAGCAGGAAGCCTACATTTTAAAGAATAAATCAAAAATATGCAGTGTGGTCATACAGAATCATGCACAAAATATATGCATAAGCAAAACAAACAGCATCACGGCAGTGCCACAAACAGCCAGGGGTGGTGAACAG